ACGCTGTAGCTGGGACGAAACGGTTGCCTAGGGGCAGCGTTCTCACGGCTGCATTATTTGAATCCTCGACCAGAGGTTACCACCCTCGCCTCTGGCCTCATACCCGTCAACGGCAACTTGTAATCATGATCCCTACCCTGGCTCTGCCTAACTTTCTGACTGCGAAATATCACAGCCGGCAGCCCTGTGGGAGCTGTTCTATGTACGGCAGGTACCGAGCACACCCTTTGTCTGCCCACGCGGGGCGTGCCCAGTAGTTATGTTTCCAGGCAAACGCCGAGGGGGTCGGTGGCCGACGCTTCCTAATCGGCAAGCCACAGCAGACTTGTCAACCGGAAACCTGGAACTCAGAAAGATCAATAGATTGATCGAAGGCCCTCAAAATATAGAAGAAGAAGAAGAAGTAAAAACATTAAGTTATAGTTATTTTTACATTAATTTTACTTTGGAATTCGATATCAGCTGCCTTTAGTTTCTTCTAAGCCTAGTATTTCTTTTAAAAGTTCATCTTCTGATAACTTATCATAGAAAGAGGTTAATTTTGGAACGGACACCAATAACTCTACTTCACTTGTTGATAGTGGACTCTTTGACTTTGAGTTGAACAGCCCCAAACATATCTGCTAATTCCTTGATCACTGATCTGGAGTTCAGAATGAAAGCGAGCAATGCACACACGCATCTCTCTTCTCTTTACTTCTCGCAGAGAGAGTCTAGCATCTATTAATTGTTCTCCTTTCGTTCTCTTCTTCAACCATTTTGTTCTCTCTAACGAAATTTCATATTGGTCTGATTTTAAAAGTACCGGTACATTTTCAATAGCATGTTACACAAAGTGAAAGCGATTCTCGTGCAGAAACAATCTTAAGGCCTCTAGTTTGGTTATCATTTTGTCAAGAGTGAAGCCTTCAGTCTGTAGATACTTCTGTGTAAAATTAACTTATTCAAGTAGATCATCCCAAAGGTAAAGGTAGAAGATAAACTTGAAATCACAGACAACATGTAAAAGACGTTATGCTGTATTACAATCGTGCTCCAACGTTAAGATGTGGTGCTAGTGACGAATCGGCGAAAATATTTATTTTAGAGTATTTCTAGGTTTCGATAGATTTGGTTTCAAAAACATATTTTTAAAAGTTTTTAAAAAATTTAATTTATTATTAAAAAGTATTAGAAAATTTTGTAAAATATTATTTTGTTTACCCTAAAAATAGGTTAAAACTCATTTTTAATGTTATTAATTTTTACCGATTCGATTCATTAACTTAGAATCGTCCGACCACATCATAGTTCGTTTCAATGAAAAGCTTTATTTCTCAGAATTTAGATAACTATTGCTTCGTGTCATTCATGAAAGTTACCGAACACTTCAATCGGCGTTGAATCATGGTCAAAAAGGTGTTTCTGACGCATCT